CTTATGACATGTCCTTGGTACAAGTATATGGGAATTCTAAAGAATGATAAGTATTCTCATCCTGGCTCATTCATTTATCAACAGAGATCAGTGAAACATTACCATAGTGTTGAAATTTACATTCTGTAACAGCATGGAAGAATTAGCCCCATAAATAGGAAAGAATGACAAAATATTCTCTGTCCTAACACTTTTGCAGAGTATTGTAAATCATGTAAGTGTATATAGATATTTTGAAAAATTAAAAACAAAACAAACTGATTCATCCTCTCAAGTAGACAATTTAATCCACAAAAATCAAACCATTCACAATATTTCAAAAATCTTAAACAAGAACAAATAACAAAATTTAATATCTGCATATTAATTAGATGAAACAAGAAACTAAGGTTTTAAATAATAAACTATTTTGATGACAGAACTATTTAAATAAAATACAAAAATATAAACTAAAGCTTTACAAACACATTCATACCTATAATACAATTATTTGAGAAAATAACCAAAATACCAGAACTTCACCATTCTAACTAAAGACCGGCACTTCACCATTCTAACAAAATACCGGCACTTCACCATTCTAACAAAATACCGGCACTTCACCATTCTAACAAAATACCGGCACTTCACCATTCTAATTAGAATGGTGAAGTACTGGTATTTTGTTAGAATGGTGAAGTGCCGGTATTTTGTTAGAATGGTGAAGTGCCGGTATTTTGTTAGAATGGTGAAGTGCCGGTATTTTGTTTTCATTTTTTAGTATTTTACCAAGGATCATGTTATGGAACTCTAGCCATTTTTCAAATTGTTCAGATTTTATTAAGACAAACACTCCTGTCTTATATTGTATTAAGACAAACACTCCTGTATCATATTTTATTAAGACAAACACTCCTGTATCATATTTTATTAAGACAAACACTCCTGTATCATATTTTATCAAGACAAACACTCCTGTATCATATTTTATCAAGACAAACACTCCTGTATCAGATTTTATTAAGACAAACACTCCTGTATCATATTATTTGCCAGTTATGGTAATTTCATTTTCATACTTAAAACCAACCACAGTTGGGTAAGAATAATAATGTATTTATTAAGCACTATAACTATTAGTCACTAGAACATATTTCTGAACCCCCTGCAAGAAAGTTTCTCAAGTTCAGAGGATATTTGTCTACATTATCACATATTTAACAGAAAGATAGTAATGGAGAGGTTCACAAAATATAATGTTTAAACTTTTCAATCTTTCTGTAATAATGCATTCAATAGTTAAACTGTCTGGACCAATTATCGACATTCATGAAGTATTACAACTTTCTAATATCCTGTTAAAGGAAAAAGATCTACTTGAACTACTTATTTCTTCTCAAGTACTAATTTATAAAATTATGTTTACCTCTATACAGTTGTAACATTTAGTTACATACTTTAATGAAAAGTATTTTCAAACTAGATTTAAAAAATGAACAGATCACACTAGGTTCTCAGCTAAACTAGTTCATGGGTCCAGCAAGAAGTGCGGATAATGTATCGAGGATTTGAAATGTGTAGCATCCCATAAGTTCACAGTTTGGGACTGCAAAGAGAAAAATACATATCTGTGTCAAAAACAGCATCTTAAAGACTTCAACCTCCAAATTTCAATTCCGTTCTGGTTAAATCCAACATTCCGACAAGAACAAACTGTAGACTCCTACCCCAATAATCACGTGATGTGAAAGGCGTGACACCACACCAACAAAATTAACATATGTGGAACAAAATGTGTGCAAAACATAGAGTTCTCCTTATTAGAATAAAACAAAAACAATCATGTTATCAATCATTTTACCAGGAACTGCAGACAATGGCCTATATGGGAAAAAAACGGTCCTCGAGGGATGCAGGAAGATGTAATTGTTTATAATTGTGGGAAACTTGGCCATTACAGCAGAGACTGTAAGGAACCAACAGTTGCTATCAATCCAAGGAGACAGAGCCCAACCAGGTCAAAGGAATAATACGGAGCTAACAAGACATAAAAGAATAGGAATTAGTTGAATTTATGAAGCAAAGCACAGATAGCAATACTACCTACTATGAATTAGAAAAATAGTACAATGGGTCCAAACTTATTGATGGAAAACCTTCCAGTATGCTGATTCCACAAATACAACTGTTCATCCCAATTTATTAATGAAAGATGGAAAATTATCTCCAGAGATGAAGGAAGAAGAGTTATTGATGCAAACAGTAGGTGGACTGGACATTCAGTTCCAGCAAAAGGGAAGTTATAAGTTACTCTTATTGGAAAAACTTTGTCTGTCTTGGAACTGATTTAATTTGGAGACACGAATGTGAGGTAATGTTAGCTTCAGATAACTTCCTAAGCTATGACCAGGAAAGATCTGTGTACTACAACAGGGATTGTGGTCATTGTACTACTATCTACTATATAAACATAAGAATTATTACAAGAAAAAACAATTCTATTAAAATATTTAGCAACCAATCTTGTCTACATTTGGAACAGAATACCAATTTTATGGCATTTCACAGGTGAAAAGAATTTTTCTGTTTACTGTAACTATCTAAAACCAAACGTTCTATAAAATCACATAACATCAATAATGTGTAAGTTTTCTCCAGCTATTATAATTCTCTTAATAGGGATATAAAGTCTTTAATCTAAAGATTACCTCAGTTTCCTTTGCTACTTCATCAGACTTTTCATTTTTTATTTTACAATCGAAGACTGTATTTGTAGATCCTTCTTCTGGGGAAGAAGCTTCTTCTGTTACTAGAGGTGAATATTAAATACTTTTATAACAATATGAACATGACTTACGTGTATCACTACATTAACACAAGTTAACACTGTTAAATTACAGTTTCTTTACACTACTACAGTTGCTTCAGAAATGGTAAGTTATACAGGGTGTCCATAACTTTAATATTGATCTATGTTATTAATTCAGGATAATAATAACAACATAATAAACAGTTGTTGGTATAATGAAGACTAACACTTCAGTTTCTCCTTAACATGTCCACCATTTGTAATTTACAGGATGTTCAGATGATAATCACTATTATTGTATGGGTGATTCATGTTATATACAGTGTAATTCACATACCTACATCTACAATAGTGGGAAAAAATTCTTCAGACATTTGTCTCTCACATGTCATGTTTAGCTGTTGTAGTTTTTATTCTGTTCAGATAAGAAAGAGGTTCAATAATTGATGGACATTCTGTACTAATCATTATAAATATTATATATGTAGGTAATATTATTATAATAATTACTTTATGAACAAGTTATACATTCTGTACTACACATTATTAATATTATATATGTAAGTAATATTATTATAATAATTACTTTATTAACAAGTTATACATTCTGTACTACACATTATTAATATTATATATGTAAGTAATATTATTATAATAATTACTTTATGAACAAGTTATTCATTCTGTACTACACATTACTAATATTATATATGTAAGTAATATTATTATAATAATTACTTTATGAACAAGTTATACATCTAAAACAGAACATGAAGGAAGAGTATGTCAAGATTATTAGTAATCATACCTTGGTGTGCTTTATTATAATTAAATATCAGTGTGTTTAAAGAGAAAAAAGATGTGAGTAATCTTTAAGTTTGAATCTTAAATAAAATTCCATCTCTGGTAATTAAAATCAAATTTGTACCAGGACTTAATTTCAAGATTTTAATGTTTGTTGAAGAAAGATTCAAATGATGAAAGGATTGTTTTATACAGATTAAAATCCCCTGGGTGTAAGAGGTGATTTTATACTAGAAACTCATATAATTATCTGTCATGTACAGAGCAGTAGGAGGAATTTCAGAAAGTTCACTGCTGATCAGTTGAAAATTTTTTATTGTGATAAAAGTTTACAAAACCGGTGATGGCAATACGGCAAAGCCACCAGAAAATCTATGGCATTTCATGATAAATATCGAGTACAATGCCAAGAAACAGAAGAAATTTCCACTGTAAGAAAATAAATTTTTAAAAATTATTTCTTTTTACTTTCTTACTTTATATATGATATTATAGAAAAGTAAAACATCTGATAAATAACAAAAATATTTAAAGATATAACACCTCACATCACCAATATGACATCTTACAACTTCACTTAATGGGTTATCCTAGAAGCCAAAACATCTGATTTTACCACACACGTGTACAATGCTTGAGAACAGACCAACAGAAAGGTATGGGCACGTAACATTACACTCCTAAGTTCTAATGAGTATTTTAATGTTTTGTGCAGACCATTCAAAATATTGATAATTCCTTGTCAGTAGTTTTTGTACTGATTTAATTAATAAAACATTTGTTGTAATCAAAATCAGAACTAACACACACTCTGTCAATATTGAACTATTGCATACTTAGTGTTAGAGGGGCAGTGAAGTTATTGTAAATTTACAATAATTTACCTTGTTTTAGATATTTCTTTGTACAGAATAAACAGAAAACATAAGATCAATTTCACATTATTTGATGAATAAAGAATATCAATGTTTAAAAACAAAGCGATATGAGTAGTTTCCATATTTTATTGGCATTAAACAATACTTTTCTTTGTGAGTATTGTTTGACTTTTACTCTCTGCGAAAGTTGCATATCATATGAGCAGAACATGGCAACGTTTATACCTCAGATTTAACTTGGAAAGCTACCTACAGTTTTGATTTCATCCTAAATATTTAACAAGTTTAACGTATTTTTAGTATTAAAAGCCAAGCTCTCTCAGCAGGGAATTTGGGTAAAATTTCAGACAGATTTAGATTTTTTATGGTTTTAAAGGATTTTTTGTTAAAAGTTTTCAAGTTATTTCAATTAATGTTAATTTACGGCAACGTTAACATAAAGGATTTCTTTGTCTTAAGGGTTGTTTTAACTTTTAACTTGTAAAAGACTAGTGGGAGAAAATCAAATATAGGTTTTTTTCACTTCTTTCTTAAGATATCCAATTATAACCAGCTATACAAGTCATGTAACAGCTCTAATGGAATTTTTTTTTAATATTTCATTTGTTACTCCACTGTGTTGGTTAAGTTACCATATTCGACCAGTTCATGTACCTTGATATTTAAATGTTCACTTTATGAAATAAATTACTGCTGTTCACCAGAAACAATTCTCATTATGGACAACTACAGATCTTGCAAAACTTCTAACGGTAGCATCTTAAGTTACAATGTTAAGTTAATAATGGCTGGAGACGACTTGAATGGGTAATGAAGAAAAACTTTAATATAACAGCAAATGTACAACGTTTCGACAAGGTTCTGGTACCTGATGATGACAAAACCTTGTCGAAACGTT